CGACGACGGCGGCGGCGACGACCCCGCGACGTCGACGTCGGCTAGCGGCGGCGGCGGCGGCGGCGGCGGCGGCGGCGGAAACGGCGCGTCGGTGGCGGCACCAGCGGTGGCCGCGGCAGGTGAACGGCGGTGTGCGGCGGCCGCACACGGTTCGGCCCGATACAGTCGTGGAGGGAGTGCGAAATCACGCTGACGCTGTGAGTGGCGCGCATCACGTCGTCGTGCTTGAAGCGCTGGAACGTGCCGATCGAACGTGTCATCGAGGACGCGAGTGAACGCCGGCTGAAGAAAAAGGGAAAAGTTATCCCGCGGAGGGGTGAGAAAGTTACCGAAGGTCTTCCGAGGGGGTGGAAAAAGAATCGGCAGCGAGAGAAACTTGAGGGAGTAGCGCGAAAAAGGAAAACAAACGGGAAAGGAGTCGACGCGACGAGGGGGAAAAAGTCGCGGAAGAAGCGGAAGAACGGCGGAAGAAGCGAACGAACGTGCGGATCGCGGACAGAGGAGGGAAAAGAGAAAGGATATCGGAGCGGTACCGAAACGCGCGCGGCGCTGGCCACCGCTGACAGATCGACGATGTGATTCCCCGGCGAGGAGTCGCCGCGCGATAGTCTCGATTTCCGCGATCGCGATTCATCGGCCGGTCCAGCGCAGCAGCCACCTCCTACGCCGTATGTCGCGCGCGACGCGCCGCGGAATCGTCGACCTTAGCGCTCGCGCGCGATCCGCGTCCGGACGACCGGTCGTCCCTCGTACTCCGCCGGAAGGTACGCCTTGAGAGCAAGGAGGATGCGCGGAAATCGCGCGCGCGATAATCGGCAGACGCGCCGTCCGGATCCCGGACTCGACTAAGACCACCTCGGAGGAGGCACGGGGTGAATCCGCTCCGTTGGATCAGTGTGCGTTCAGACAGTGCGGGTGGATGTACGACGACGACGACGACGACGACGTCGTTCCCTGGTGATCGGTGTTGCTATGATCGTGCCGCGTTGGTCCCGTCACGTGGAACGATCATGATTTACTTTAGGCCGCACGACGGTAGGAGTCTACGGTTCAACGCGAACGCGAGACACTTGAACGTGCTCGTCGTGCCGCTCTTTCCGCTCTGGATTATCGGCGCGTTCTGCGTGAAGGACAGTAAGTGGCTGTTGAATTTCGTTGTTGTATTTTATCGTATTTGCGGGGGCTTTCGAAGGTCGAGCGGCGGATCGACCTGGTTCTCGCTCTGCGCGGAATTTCTACCGATCATTTCTAGCTCTCTGTGTATCAAACGAGTTAGTTATCAAACTGTGTTGCGAGGGGGACGAAAGTTGAACGAGTACTTCGAAGGAGTCGTCCGTTCTCGTGAAATTAGTTACGCAAGCTCGACTCGCGCCTAATATTATATATGCCTGAAAATTGGGGGATTACTCGTTCGACTTGTCGTACCTTCGAAACGAAAAGAGCAGCAAGACAGCTTTCGGAAACGTGTGTCGCAAAATATTTTTTTGCGCGTCGATAACACATTTATTTCTTTAGGTACAATTTAATTAAACGAAAGTTAACAAAATTATATATTACATTAGATCCGATGCCACGTCGAAGTTTTGCTTGAAAATCGCGTTATGTCGCGAGGCGAAGTACATCTTGTTCACTCGCGACGAAGCGCGCGCTCTCGGAGCTGCGTGATTCTAACACGTAACCCCTTCGTCTATTATCGTTTAATTACGACGTGCGAATGACCGATTTTGCGCCGGATGGCATCGCGGCGGTACGGACATCGGCTTATAACGAATATTTTAACACCGACGGATCAAAGGCGAACTCCTCTCTTTGATGGTAGTTTCGGACGCTGCTTTCGGAGCCAAGCGGCCCCGTCAATGGTCCGGTGTTTGCATATCGGTGACACTGCGGCTCGTTTACCGCCACTTACTTCGCCGCCCCCGTCGGTCATCCGCAAATACAGTCGCGCGACATACGTTGCCGAGCATCGTCCTCGTTTGCGTGGTCGAAAAGCCTTCCCCCTCTCGATACGTATCGGCTCATTACGCGGAATAGTTCGGACGATAGACAGGGGGGAGGAGAAAAGGAAATTCGCCAAAACTATGGGAGCACCGCGTAACGAATTGCCACGACCAGGGGAGAGCGCAGCAATTTCGGAACGCGACAAGCCAAGTTTCGACGAGCGCACAGACCTGCGCTCGGATCGAACTTCGCTCTTTGACACGCGACTCTATTGTTCCGCGGGTAGAAGCTCGAGGGGGCAAATTCCTGTCTTAATCCCGCGACAGAGGAGGAGGCCTCGCGCCTCCCCGCGATGCGCTCGCAATTTGGACTGCTGTGCCGCCGCAGTCTGCGTGTCATCGCCGAAAGTTCAACGCTTGTTGCACATGACGTGCAGATCGATGGAATAATTATCGCACCAGACCGGAAAGTTTTTCGCCGCGTTAACGCGCCAACAATGCGAGGGGAACTTGACTTCCGTTGGCGGAATTTTTCATTGGAATGAAAGATATTAGCGCGCCCCATGGTGAGCGGCGGAAGTGTTAATAATGTCAAAGTGTGGTCGAGGGAGTTGCTTGAAAGACTCGCTAGATCGTCGTGATAATCTTAACGGCTTCGCCATTCAGATTTCCTCCACTGTATAATTTCAACTAGCGACTCGGAGAAAGTTAATCAGGACTCACTTAACGTAAGACTTTATTGAAATATCTGCTTCAAGCTGTCTGTGAGGTAAACGAATATACGTGAAACGTGTACTCGCGCAAAAAATACGGCAGTAATGATATTTGTTACAAGTTGAGGATCGATAAAGCGCCAATATTTATTATAGAGAAAGGAATGTTTTAATAAAATGGTAAATTATATATCGCCAGTGATTTAAAAAACAAATTTCCATAAGATTAAGCGACCTACACTGGCTAGTGTTTTTATTGAAAAACGAATTTACAACGTTTCGGCCCCGGATTTGGGCCCTTTTCAAGTATTCTTAGTGAATCACTGCGTCATTATTCAGTCGTTTGGCCAATAGTCACAGGGTAATGATATTGGCCAAACGACTGAATAATGACGCAGTGATTCACTAAGAATACTTGAAAAGGGCCCAAATCCGGGGCCGAAACGTTGTAAATTCGTTTTTCAATAAAAACACCAGCCAGTGTAGGTCGCTTAATCTTAAAGAATATTTTAATCTTGAATGAAAAATTTAAAAATCTAGAACCGTCTTTTGTCGAATATCGTGGTGCCAACTTGGTGCGTTGTAAGATGGAGGGAAAATTTATTCTAAACGCAAGAATATATAAACTTACATTTATATAAATTACTCTTGTCTCAATATAGTAAATCAATCTTTTTTTAATTCGATAGAGGGGAATAAGAATTATTGATTTTATTTTGATATCGTCTTATTTTTATACTAAATGAGGTTGTGAGAAATATAAATGCATCAAGAACATATTTTGTCACGGTAACAGAAATCTTTTCTGAGGGTGTACATCGATAAGGGTTGATAAGAAAAGTAAGTAACGCAATCTTAAAAAACGGAGTTGCTCCGTTTGAAAGAAATACAGAGGCAAGGCAAACGCGTTGATAGATGAAAGTGTTGCCCGGCAAACGCTTATTAGATTGCGATAAATTACCGGCCGTAGTCGCGTCATTTGCGCATATATACACACTTAGGTCGCATCAAAGACAAGCATTTTGCTCTGCCATGGACCTCCGGTTACTTGAGGTGAATCGAGGAAATTCGTGGTTGGCTTTTAGTGAAACGTTAGAATCTCGCATGTGGGGATGACCGGGCGATTGGCTTCCCTTAGTTGGTATTCAGTTGATTCCTCCGCTCGAATATATATAAGCGGGCATCGTTGTTGCTTACAAAGGAATGTGACTGCTATTCGCACGGGATATTCCGTGCTAGGTGTCGGGCGGGCCAAAGATAAACTGCTACGACGAGGCTCGAGACCCCAAAGAGTCGAGGAAATCTCGTTTCGGTACTCGTGATCGAGCATTTAATGTCGATCTCTGATTCTCTTTATCGAAAAGTACATTGAAACTTCGCCCGAATTGTTCGTCGAGCGTGGCGTCGCGATGCCACGGAGACGCCAGATAGATTAAATGCACTCGCTAAAAATCACTCGGCGAATTATCACTGAAAACAGTGAACGGTCACTGATTCACAGTTATAAGTATACCACCGCGATTTTCAGCGCAAACCAGTGACTATTCACTGCTCTCAATCGTAATCTACCGATTGACTTTTCGAGAGCACTGTGTGTCATTTAACGAAATATACTCCAATTATTTCTATTCAATAATCAACCTACAGCGAGACACTGAAAATCTTAACTCTGTATACAATAGGGTATACAATAGGGTAATTAGAATGACCTAGTATTTATAATCCTCCCCTTCCATGTTTCCTATAACTCCCGTATATGGCTTTACTCTTATTTATCGCTTTTTCTGTAACGTCGATGACCAGACACATTGCACAAAATCTCTGACTTATAACATAATTTTCACATGTTTAATCTGACGAATCTTGGAAGTTTGTATTATATAAAAACACCGTAATTTTATTTTCTGTTACGCAAGATCTCATCTTAAATTCTTAATTTCGTTTATATGTTGTTCTTTCGTTCTTCAGACATTTGTAGGCACTTTTGTAAGTTCGTTACCTGAGGAGAACCAGTATTACTGGCCGAAACGGTGTGATATATTATAACAAAAACTTGCCAGTAAGGTCGTTTCCACACTTATTCAAAATCTTGATTTCTCGACTGGCGTCACTAAGTCGCTATTTAATTGTTACTCCAATTATATAGCTAACGAAGTGATTATGTGGAAGAGATATGTTCTTCTACTTTATGTAATCCACAGTCACGTCTGCGAGAAGAGGATTCCTCGGGTATACTCTAAATCCAGATTTTACCTTCGCACGCGAAGATATTTCGTATAATCGAATTTCGTCCGCTTAAAGTTCGCCCGTTCGATTGAACTTTTCGTAACAAGAGCCTAGTTTACAAGTTATACACTTCCACACGGCCTATTGTTGCTTCATGGTGGTGAAATACCATATCCGCGGAGACTATTTTGCTATTCGCCACGGTCAAGTGATTCGGGATTATATGTTATTGTCAATCAACCAACGAAACAACGAATTATTTCTATTCGATAATAGTGAGTCAGTGTATCTACCGTTAATTAGTTCTGTCATGCTTAATGATTGGCCTCGTTGATTCGCAATACCTATAATGCACGTTTACATGTGCACCAAAGCGTATTCCGCGCGCGTTAATATCCCCCCACGTTCCAACGAACGATAAATTCGGCCGGGCTTATTTACCGCCGGTGGTGATTAATTCTAGGGCGGATCGAAATTTGCTGAAATGGCAACCAGGGCCCCCGTCCCCTCTCCCCCTCCGCTCTTCCTCGTCCCGTTTTGTCATAAGTCAAAAAGTTACGACAAGCCGCGCTACACGTTTATCATTGCTAACGGTTCTCGCAACTCATCATACAGACGGATCACGTCACGGCGTCATGTCGGGAGTTATAGTGTTTCCAACAGAGCGGCAGCAGCAGAAGCAGCAGTTCATCCTCTCGACAAACAGATTCTCATCCGGCGACTGCCATGCGCCCGGGCGAATTTTAAAGCGCGCTCGCTCGCCGCCAGGTCAAATACGACGTAAGGTCGATCCTCCGTTTAACGTCGCGCTGAAAGAACGCTTTCTAAAACACTTTCGGCGAATCCCGTACGTGCTCGAGAGCACGGCCAGCCCGATGATCGATAGTCCTCGCGCGTGCAGCGGCGTTCTATTCTTACGCTCTAATTCTACGCTAAAATGCTTCCGCTCCACGCAGTGGATTTTCGTTGCCATGCTCCCCGTAATCTCTTAAGTTAAAGGTCCCGCGCTGTGTTACGTGTATATTCGTACTATATTTTTCGTGCGACTGATTATCCTAATTTATTTCCGAGACATATTGACGCTCGAGATAGAGAGAGAGAGAGAGAGAGAGAGAGAGAGAGAGAGAGAGAGAGAGAGAGAGAGAGAGAGAGAGAAAGAATAAAAGGTAATATATGTAGATTGACGCAGCTTGGACAGAACCGATATTAAAGCCGAAATGTCGTTTTTATCGTGTATGCCGAATTGCGTACAGCA